TTTCTGTACCTTCTCCCCCCTTCTCCTTCTCCCACTCCCCTGTTGCTAATCCTCCACGTGATCTTCATTTCTATGGTTCACTCCTGATCTAGCTGTACTCTTAATTTGCTTTTGTTTTAGGTGTGGTTGTTAATAACTGTGAGTTTGCTGTCCTTTCACTGTTCATCTTTTTTATCTTCTTTTTCTTAGGTAAGTCCCTTTAACATTTCATATAGTAAGGGCTTGGTGATGAAGAACTCCTTGAATTTGATCTTATCTGAGAAGCACTTTATCTGTCCTTCTATTCTAAATGAAAGCTTTGCTGGATAGAGCAATCTTGGTTGTAGGTCTTTGGTTTTCATGACTTGGAATGCTTCTTTCCAGCCCCTTCTTGCCTGTAAGGTCTCTTTTGAGAAATCAGCTGACAGTCTGATGGGAACTCCTTTGTAGGTGACTGTTCCCTTATCTCTTGCTGCTTCTTGGGTCCAACTTCTTTGGGACTCTCTGAGCTTCCTGGATTTCCTGGAAGTCTATTTCCTTTGCCAGATTGGGGAAATTCTCCTTTATTATTTGTTCAAATAAGTGTTCCACTCATGGGTGTTCCTCTTCCCCTTCTGGTACCCCTATAATTTGGATGTCGGAATGTTTAAAGATGTCCTGGAGGTTTCTAAGCCTCTCCTCCTTTTTTTGAATTCTTGTTTCTTCATCCTTTTCTGTTTGGTCATTTTTTTCCTCTTTCTGGTCCATTCCTTTGATTTGAGTCCCAGTTTCCTTTCCATTACTATTGGTTTCCTGTGCATTTCCCTTCATTTCAATTAGTTTAGCCTTCATATATTCCTCTAATTTGTGACTATAATCAACCAGTTCTGTGAGCATCCTGATCACCAGTGTTTTGAACTGTGCATCTGAAAGTTTGGCTATTTCTTCATTGCTCAGATTTATGGGCTCTGGGGCTCTGAGTTGTTCTTGAGCCATATTTTTATCTGTTTGTGCCTGTTATGTACAAGGAGAGGCGCCTTGGTGTTTACTGGGGCGGGGCCACCCAGGTTGCAGGTTTGTGACGCTGTATGTGGGGGCGGGGTCAGAGATGGAGCAATGGTGGTCCTCTCCACTCACCCAGTCTGCTTATCTGAGTGCAAATGTGCAAGTCTGCTGCCCTGCGCCAGTTGCTGGGGCCTGCGAGATCTGTCTCAAAGCTGGCCTCTTCACTGGTTTATCTGCATGCAAATGCTTGACTGACTGTAGCCAGTCAGCCACGCCTCTTCCTTGGGTTCCGTTTGTAGCTAGCCCACACCTGGGATCTGCGCCCCTGGCTGCCTGTGCACCGCCCGGATCTTTTTTGCCCGACTGGCTCTGCTGCAGGTTTCGCCCCTCTCACTGGTTTAGCTGAGTGGTCCGTTGTTTCCGGACTCTGTATTCGATTTTCTGTGTGGTTTGGTTATGTTTATTATTGTTAAAACTTTGTTGTTTTTAGATTTGGTTGTGCGAGGATGAAAAGTGTTCCCACCTACACCTCCACCTTGGTGGAAGTCCTGAATTGTTTGTCTTTAAATTGGATTGTTTGTTTATTTTGGTGTATGGTGCAATGTGATGGTGTAGTTTCTTTTTTTGCATATAGTTGTCCAAATCTCCCAACACCATTTATGAAGAGGCTATTTTTATTCCATTTTATGTTCCTGTCCCCTTTGTCAAACATATTAACTTACTATATTGACATGGGTTTACCTCTGGGCTGTCTATTCTGTTCTGATCTAGGTATCTGTTTTTATGCCAGTACCAGACTCTTTTGATTACAGTAGCCTTGTAATATAGTTTGATATCAAGTGTTGTGATCACTCCTGCTTTGTTCTTTTTTCTCAAAAGTGCTGCAGCTATTTGGTTCATATATGGTTCCATATAAATTGTGGAAATATTTGTTTTATATCTGTGAAATACGTCATTGGTATTTTATTACAAATGGCATTGAATCTGTAGATTGCTTTGGGTAGTATTGACATTTTAATGATGTTAATTTTTCCAGTCCATGACTATGGTATATGCTTCCATTTATTGGTGTCTTTCTTAATTTTATTTTTCAGTATTTTATAGTTTTCTGAGTTCAAGTCTTTTACCTTCTTGACTAAGTTTATCCCTAAGTATTTCATTTTTCTTGCTGCTATAGTAAATGGAATTTCCCCCCTAATTTCTGTTTCTGATATTTCATTCTTGGTGTACAAAAATACCTTCAATTTCTGAACGTTGACTTTTTAATCCCACCATTTTGCCAAAATCAGTTATTAGATTGAGTAGTTTTTTGGTGGAGTCTATAGGTTTTTCTATGTATACTATCATGTCATCTGAAAACAGTGACAGGCTTTACTTCCTTCTTTCCAATTTGGATATCCTTTCTTTCATTTTCTTGTCTGATCGTTGTGGCTAGAACTTCCAATACTATGTCGAATAGAACTGGTGGAAGTGGATACCCTGTCTTGTGCCTGATGTTAGGGGGAAAGCTTTTAGGTTTTGCCTGTTTAGTGTGATGTCGATTGTAGGTTTCTCTTATGTGGCCTTTATTATGTTGAGGTGTGCTCCCTCTATTCCCATTTGCCAAGTGTTTATTACCATAAATGGGTGCTGTACTTTATCAAATGCTTTTTCAACATCTATTGATATGATCATGTGATTTTTATCTTTCATCTTGTTTCCATGATGTATTACATTTATTCATTTGCATATGTCATATCCTCGCATCTCTGGGATAAATCCCACTTAATTGTGAGTGTATGATCTTTATAATGTATAGCAGGATCTGATTTGCCAGTGTTTTGTTGAGGATCTTAGCATCTATGTTCATGAGCAATATTGGCCAGTAGTTTTCTTTCCTTGTTGTGTCTTCATCTGGTTTTGGAATTAGGATAATATTGGCCTCATAAAAAAGAGTTTGGGAGTCTTCCCTCTTCTTGTATTTTTTTTTAATAGTTTGAGGAGAATTGGAGTAAGGTCTTTCTAACTGTTTTGTAAAATTCTCCTGTGAATCCATATAGCTCTGGGCTTTTGTGTGCTGGGAATTTGTTGATCACTAATTCAATTTCACTATCTGATACTAATCTATTCAGGACCTCTGCTTCTTCTACGCAGGGTTTTTTATTGGTAGTTATGAGTGAGAATTCTTGGTAGTTTTTTGTCTGTGTCTGCAATATTTACTGTATTCAAATGTTAAAGTTATATTTGTTTCATGAAGATCATTTGACAGTTTTCTTTCTGTGCTACAATTTCCATGACATTGAAATTATTTGGTCTTTGGAAATATGATAGAATTCCCCTATAAAACATTTGTTCTCATTTTTACAGTTAGTTCTTTGATCATATTTTTATCTTTTATATAGCAAGGTCAATTTTGGTAAAGTATACTTTCCTAGAAAATAGTCCAATTAATTTGGATTTTCCGTTAGTTTTGTATTGGGTTGTGCAAAGTAATCTCTTTCAATTTTAAAATTTCTTCTGTTTAATTGGTTATCTCCTTGCTTTTATATCTTATTTGTGTTTTCTTCCTTTTTCCCTTTATTGGGTTAACTAATGGCTTATTTATTTTGTTGATTTTTCTTTTCCACAAAAAAAATCCCCCAGCTCTTTGATTTATCAGTTTCTACTTTTTTTCCCCTGATCTCCACCTCATTCTTTTTGCTTGCAACATTAAATTTTCTTCCTTATACTTTTGTTTTACTTTGTTGGTATTTCTAAATTTTAAGATGGTTGCTTAATGTATTGGTTTTCATTCGTTTATTTGTTTTGTTGCTGCAAGAATTAGGGCTATGAATTTTCTGTGATCACTCTATTGATTTTATGTTTTCATTATAATTCTTTTTTTAATTACACAATTAAAAATTTCCCTTTTTGCCCCAAGAATTGTTTAATAGAAAAATTTAGAAGTTCCAAATGGAATTTCTAGTTTTAGAAAGAGCAAAGGGACGAGACAAGGAAATAAAGATTCCTGTTTCACTTCAGGTCTTCAAATTTTTCATTTTAAATATAATTTGAAAATTTGATTATTAACTGGAACTGCATTACATTTTTTTCCAACAGAAGGGACTATTTATTTTCTACAAATTATCAAGAATAGCTATTGAAACTACCCAAGTTTTTAATGAAGGACACAAGAGCAAAAATTTTTCTGAGCAAATTAATAGAAAGTGATGGGAAACAATAAAATTCATTTGTGACTGCATCTAAGCTTTTGTTAATATTTTTAAATTTTATTTAAAAACATTTTTATTTATTATTGATTTGAGAGGGAGAGAGAGAGAGATTAACAAACATTGATTTGTTGTTTCACTTATTTATGCTTTCATTGATTGATTCTTATATATGCCCTGATTGGAGATCAAACCACAACCTTGGCATGTATTGGGAGGATGCCATAACCAATTGAGCAACCCGGCTAGAGCAGCTTTTGCTTCTTATATATCAACTTTGTAAAAATTACATAAAGGTGTTCTCATTGGTTGGAGGCAGCCTATGGAGCCCTGCATGGTTAGAGGATCTATGGCTGAATATTCATTCCCACTTGACTCCTGTTTCCTTGGCTAGGAACTTAGCTCAGCCAGAACCTGTACGGTTGATGCAGCAGTTCCTAGATTGCTCTCTACTAAGGTCCAGCACATTCATTAAAATGGTTATGTCTGTTAATTTTGGGGCAACTGTGGGAAACCAAATATGCAATACAATTTACACCACCAAACTCTCATTACATTTAAGATAAAAGATTTATTCACATAAACAAAAATAATCACAATGAAATGTACACTAATTTGAAAAACAAAAGATTATAGTGACAAAATTTTATATTCTCTCATAATTGTGTAAAACTTTTGTTTGCCTCTACATAAGTTTTTATTCATGAAAGAATAGCAAACATGAAAATACAGTGCTAGTTCGCATTTCTTATGTGGAAAGAATGTAGATTAAACCCATAAGCTTTTAGTTTACAAAGTCATTATGAAGCCACACATTAACTATTGTTCAAAAACATTATCTATTTTCAGATGCATATACACCCACCAACTAAGCTGAGAAATAAGCATTTCATATTCTTTCCCACTCTGCAATAATGTGTTTTGTTCTGTTTTAACTAAAAGCAAGAAATTGTATTTTTTTAATTGACCTCAGATGATGCACTTTCTATTTCATGAGAAATGCGAAATTTCAGGTGTTTATCTTGCTCCTCACTCTTAGGGTCTAAGACTAGCTTGTCTTCATGGCTCTGAAATTCTTGACTGTGAAATTCATGGCTGGCTTTGGAATTTTCCTTACTATCTCTCACATCAGAATGCTCTTGGCTCTCAGCAATTGCCGTCAGCTTATATTCTTTGGAGTACTTGCGGCTATCGGCTTCCACACTGTGATCACCCAGCAGGCTTGACTCCTGGCTGTCCTTCCCGCGGCTGTCCCAATCAGAAGCCACCTGCAGGCCCTGGGCAACAAGGGTGGCTTTGTGTGCATCATCCATGTCATCACTTTCCATATGTGATGTAAGGTCCTCCTCTGTAGCATCAGGATACTGAATCACAGCACAAATGAAAGAAGAATTAAATGACAGTCAGAAATAGGAACATTGTAATTCTTTTTTTTCTGGAACTTTTAGTCTAATTTGTACTGAAAACTGTCTAAATTGGGGTAAAGTAAAAAATAATACTAGCATGTTACTTTGTATTTTATCGAGCCCTTTCATATGTTATCTCTTTTAGTGTAATAGGCACATCAATTATATATGTGCTGAAACCTATGAAGAAGGTCCCATTATCTTTGTTTTACATAAAAGAAAAGTGAATTGAAGGTTAAAAATTAAGTGAATGACCAGGCTATGTATCAAGTCCAGATCCTTTGACTATAAAGTCAGTGTAATTTGTAACTCTACCATTCCTAGTAGGTATTTAACTTCAAAATATAACCATTGTATTGTGAAAATAGTTGCTGTTTTTCAAAGTCTCCTTTTAATTAAAAAAAAATGAATAGAATAAACACTTAGTAGCCAGGATTTAGGGAAAAAAACAACAGCATTGTAATTGAGATATAAAATTAGAGAGAAATTATGTGTTCTTAAATAAATTAAAAAAACACACCAAGAGAAAACAGTTTTGAATTCAATGGTCATAACGTAATAACAATACTTGCTGAATGAATGAATGAATGAATAAGTGAATAAGTGACTATGTAGACTCTGGATCCTAGAATTGGGCTCTAATCATAACCATATGACGTATCTGTTAAAGGATTTACCTGGATTAAAGATCTTTGGAACTTGGATTTTGACCTCAGTCCATAAGCCACACTATCACCTCGTCCATCATATGTATCTCTTGTGGGCAGAGCTGGAGTGACAACGGGGGTTCCAGGAAAGTCAGTGGGAAAATCAGTGACCAGTTCATCAGATTCATCAGAGTGGTGAGACTCATCAGAATTGTCAGAGTCATCAGTATGATCAGCGTCTTCTGAGTCATCTGAGTCAATCGAGTCCTGGCTATCCACATGGTCTGCATCATCATCATCATCATCATCATCCGCATCATCTGTGTGGTCATGGCTTTCATTGGACTTACTTGGGAGGGTCTAAAAATCAAGATGGCCAGACAAATTAGCGTAAGTGTTTTTATATTCCCCTAGTCTTTACAGTTCCTTAGTCTTTTACTATCTTTCTCTTATTTAGTTTTAGGATCTTTGCACCCACAACAATATATTCAATGGCTTTTAAGAGCCAAAGTGAGCATCTTCCAATTTCTCTTTTAACACAAGGATAAATGGAATCATAATTGAGGTATTTTTCTTGCTTTCATGTAAAAAGTTATCTTCCTAGAAAATTTTAAGCCAAATATGTAAGTATAATATTTATACTGATAACACCATTTTTTCTTATTCCCATTAGACATTATTTAATATGCCAAATTCAATAATGCATAAATACAGATACAAAATTTAAGATTATTTTTTGTACTAGAAATGAGAATTCACAGGAGCTCAGAGCACCTAAATAATAACATATACACCAAAACCTAAAACTGCCTCCCTATTCGTATGTATAATCAAAAGGTGACTCTGGCCCTGGCTGGTGTGGCTCAGTGGACTGAGTGCCAGCCTGGAAACCAAAGGGTCACTGGTTCGATTCCCAGTCCGGGCACATGTCTGGGTTGCGGGCCAGGTCCCCAGTAGGAGGTCCACCAGAGGCAACCACAAATTGATGTTTCTCTTTCTTCTTCCCTTCCCCTCTCTCTAAAAATAAATAAATAAAGTGTTTTAAAAACAGTAACTCTGTTATGCATGTATATAATGTGCAGCTCAGATCTATCAATTGAATTCACCAGATAATGGCTATTAAACTTCCAAGTAGCAAATATACTGGTTTACTTATCTAACTTTTCTTATGAGAGATTTTAGCATGGTCAAACAGAATCTTAAGGAAAACAAATTTAACTTATTTCTTTGCTTAGCAAATATATTAATAGTCAATAAAAAGTCATAATTAACAGTCTTAGTAATAGTTATGAAATAAACCATTATGTTAGGAACAGAAAATTCCTAGAGGCAAAAATCTTGGGTTTTATAGGTATCGATTAGATATTTCTTAGACATTAGATAAGACATCTATAAAATACCTTAAATGAATTGTTAAGAGGCTTAGTGTTTCAAATAATACACATTAGTAAACATTTCCCGCCACACTAAATTTCTCTGAAGAAATCTGGTGTTTCTGGCATTTGATTAATACCTGATGTTTGTTTTCTGAGCAAGTTTAGACTGTTTTCTGAGCAAGTTCTGAGCAAATTTACTGGAAACTTTGTTAATGAAATTTTACCACAATTGAGCCCAGGTAATGTCATTAGGAGAAAGAGTGGCTTAGTCTCTCCAAGGCATGCGGGCCTCTGACCTAAAGTGATAACTCACCTCTTGTTTGAAGTCATTAGTTTCTTCGGAGGAGACAGTATTCTGAAGAAGGAAAGGCACATGTCAATGTATATCACACATGTTTCACCTTTCTATTCAAAAGTTAGCCTTTTCCATTCAAAGCAGGTCTTATTTTTCAACCTTGTTGGTGAATGACTTTTGAAGGGGAAAAAGTCAACACAGCAGATCAATTGGTGTCCGAAGCTCCCATTTACAAACAGGCATGAAGGATCTACTTAACCAGCCCAAATAGCCTGGTTGGTGTCTATTTTTATTTTTTGTTGTTGTTCTTTAATTGCAAGAAAAATAATTTCTAAAATTAAAATAAAATATACCTGTGGTGCTAGGAGATTCTGCTTCTGAGATGGGTCAGGCTTTAGCCATGTGGCTATAGCATCTGGATATTTGTAAAGCTACAAAAAAGTTGCATATTTGTCATTATTTTTTAAAAAGAAACATAGGGATCTCTAAATGATAAGCTAGGAAATAAAACTATACTTCACTGATACTGATGGATAAGTACAATATGCATGTATATTATTAAGCCAGAGCCTTAGATACACCTCTTCTAACTTATTTTTTTCTTGAAGATTCATTTAATAAACTCTTACATAGCACTTACTGTGAGCCAGCACTCTTGTAAGTGATTTAAATGTACCCATTCATTTAATCCTTCAGACCCCAGATGAGATAGATGTCATTATTATTTCCAATTTTGTAGATCAGGAGAAAGTAAGCCACAGTGATGTTAAGAGCCAGGGTTCAAATGCAGACAAAGTGGCTCTTCATACTGGTTTGAACACCATGCTTTCCTGTTCCAGTGGAAATTTCCTCTCAGATAAATCACAATGAAAGCAGAGGTGCCCTTAATTAGCTTTGATCTTCACTGTTCCCTCTACTACATGGCTATTTAAATTTAAATAAAATAAAATAAAAATCTTAGTTTCTCTGTTGCACTAGCTACATTTTGAATGTTTACTAGCCTCATGAGTCTAGAGGCTATCTTAGTGGGTGGTGCAGAAATAAAATATTAACATCATCTCGCCAAAGTTCTATTGCTCTATGTGCCAAAGACATGAATGGAATGTCCTTCCCTTTAGCTGAGTTATTTATTTAGACAATGATTATAATATGCTATTACAGAGGAGTGGAGATTGCTCTGAGTGCATGTCATCTGATGGGCTGTATCACTGTGGCCAATCACTTCACATCCCTGTCACTGAGAACAGGAACCCTGAGAGTTCCATAGAATTCTCTCTGCAATTTCCAAGATGGTTGGGGGTTTGGGAGGGGAAGAGTAGGGAGGAAACCAGTCACACTATATGTTTCCCTGTGGCTGGCTATAACCAGAGCAGCTTCAGATTGGGCTTCTCTGAAAGTTTTTGCTGAAAGAAGGGGTTTCTTGCCTTAAAAAGGGTACAAAAAGACTACTGATCTAGATGAGTTCAAAGTTTTCTTCTTTTTTTCCTCGAAAAAAATATAAATATTACATAGAAATATGTTATACTGTATATTTTATATAGCTATACATTAAACTTATAATTTAAAAAAGTAATATGAATAAAATAAAGTTAAGCAAAATAAGCAGACTAAAATCTGCCCAGTAATCATCACACTCACAGATAACCAGGGCTCACCTTCAGAGATGTCATCTTATAGCCTTCCTGTATTTCCTACTAGCTCTAAATATCTAGGGTTCTAGAAGGTTGAGCTCTTTGGTTATCTTCTAAATATCATTTAATAACTTATACTGCCATAGCTTCATGTGCCATACTTTTTTAGTTAAAAAGACATTCATTCTTGCTTCAAATAGTGTGACCTCTATCTTCTCTGAAAATTTTAATTTTTCTGGCTAATTGCTGTAATTCAATACTTGTATTCTTAAATCAATTGTAAAACAGACACAACTGCACCTACCTACTTGCACACCTAACCACATGCAACCACACTTCTCTTGGAGTTTTCATTAAGCAATCTAATTACAGTGACTCCAGGCAACTTTATATTGGCCTTTATTCTGTTCGTCTGAATTGACCTCTGTGTGAATTTTTGGTCCAGGCTCCTCTGGACAATGCCCGTTTGTTGTTTGGTGGGCACAGTTCCACCTGTTGTGGAGGGGCAGAGCCATCTATGGTGAAAAGAGTTTGATTTGGTTTTGTGTTTGGTTAGAGAAATGTGATCTAAAGTTAGCTGACAAGCACAATAGATACGAACAACTATCTTTTTAAATAATGGGCTTCTTAGAAAATATCTTAGGAGATATTCTGAACATTGCAGTCATATAAACTTGTGCAATATGTGAGGCCCATTTTAAACTTAGCCTCCCACTAAGGAAAGCAAAGGACAGAATTTTCAACTTCCTAGAACAGTGTGTTGACTCATGGAAAGAAAAAGTCACAAAACTTCATAGACCTCATTTTCATAAATGATAATGGCATAGAACATTATTTTAGTATATAAAATATCTAGTTTGGTGGTTGGAGTGTATATTTATTAAAAATTATACTGTGCTTGGTCCTGGCCTAGATTGAAAGCAGGCTGTCAATAATTACTTATAAATTAACAATCTTGACTGTGAAAATAATTAAAATTGCAGCAGATACATTTGTAGTGCTTCCTGAAGCAGTTGCATAAATAATTTAACTATATGATAAACACAAAAGGTGCTTACCTGCTTTTCCTCAGAGCTGCCAGAATCTGCATGTTTAACCTTTGAAACAGAAAAGATGGAGAAAGATTACAATGTGAATGTGTTCTCAGCACACAGGAGCACACAGTTCATTGATTTTGAAGAACTGTCTGTAAGATTCAGCTGTACTCACTGGCAGGGTGTAGGCAATGCCTAAGAGGCAGAAGCAAATCACCGCAATTCTCATGGTAGTGATTTTTCCTGCAAAATATTTTGTCATGAATATTCAATTTCTCCACAGATTAAAACAATGATACCTCATTATGCTATCATGTTATAAAATAATCAAAAGTAAAATTTATTTTCTGTAGAATATTTTCTACTTCCTAGAGAAAACTTTTCTTTTTAACATTATTCTTCATCTTTCACTATTAGGCAAGGGAGGGAGGAATTTCACAAGTCTGTATTTATTCAACTTTTAAATTTAGAGCTCCAGAGATTGCCCTCTTATTACCTGATATTGTCAGCTATCTAAACCTAAACACAGACCAACACTAATTTAATTAAAATAATAAGATAGTGTGGGAATATTTACTTTTCAGAGAAGCAAACAGAGAAAATAAAACTATGAAAGAAATTTGCTTTCTCCATATTTTCAGCATGCATTTCAAATATGATTTTTAACTTAAATTATTAAAAAGGTGCCACGTAGGTGACATGAAGCTATTTCTAAAGTTAGTTAAGTTACTCTAGAAATTTGAAACAATAAAGGAAACATTGAAAATAGCCAACAGCTTTTTTATTTTCAATAATAAGTCTACACTGTCATACAGTTTTTTGGTGAAAACTTTAACAGCTAAATACAGAAGTAAAAATATATTTCAGAAAAAAGTTTTTTTCCTTGAAAATGGTAAAAGTCAAATAATTAAAAATAGGATTATCATTAGCCTACAGTAACACTGAAGGTCCTTTTTCTTGTAAATACCTCCACAATCATCTATCCATTCATAATGATATGGGTAAAATCACCTCGAAGGGTCATAGAATTTTACTCTTTTTTTCTAATTGGGAGAAGTAGTTTCATTCCTCTGAGGACTGGGTGGAAAGATTTTTAGGTTTTATATTGACTGGCTTTCAGAACAGCTGGACACCTTTCCTACAAGACATCAGCAATGTATCTGGCATACTTATTCAAAAGACTAGAAAAATTTAAATTTGATTACCAGGATTATAGTTAAACTGTACAGCTTGACCTTCTTTACAGCTTGACCTTCCCCAGGAACTGACCCTGAATGCCTAGGACAGCTGCAGTACAGCAAACTGCAGGCTTACCTTGGTCTGTGGTTGGCTGAGAAGGCTGGCACTGGCCTGAGAAGAGAGTCCAGTCCCAGACGGTGCTGCAGTCCTGTCTCCTCCTCTTGCTGCTGACAGCTAGACCTCCCAGAATTTAAATGCTGCTGCAGACACCCGCCACCCCCTACACAGGGAGGCGGAGAGATGTGTCATGAGGTTTTTTTTGCCACTGTCCAACCCACTTGCTCCCACACTTCCCTTTCTGGTTTTGTGGTACACACACACACACACACACACAGAGTTAAAACATTACTTATCTACAATATTAACTGGCATTTTCATTTATGGGAAGGCATTCAGCATTATTAAAAAGCAGCTTGGAGTCCCATTAAAAATGAGGAAGTGACTAGTTCTTACAATGACTTTATAACTTCTGAATTAGAAGAAAATATATGGATATAAATCAGTCCTAAATAAAATGAAATAGAATGGGTTTTTGTTTCTTTGAGTTTAAAAATGATTAAGGTAATATATGCAACTGAACTTGCCTTTCAATTATACTTATTTAGGAGCTACGAGCTTATTGTTCAGGTGTATGAAGAGCTCAGACACCCTTCCTCCATCCTTTTGTGCTGAAGCTTGCTTTTGTGATTTCAAGTATGCAGCAGCTTGTCATTTAGACAAATGGCATTAATAACATTAAAATCCATGTCCAGGCCCATTAAATTGGAATTATGATGACCTTTCAAGGACATGGATTTTTGTCACACTGTTTGAATTGTTTGGAGGTGATTAATCTGGTAACTCGCTATACAAAATAGAAGAATGGCAATTTACTTTAGATGCTACAGAAGTCAAGTAGCTCCTAACTAAGAGCAGTGTGATTTCTTGAGAGTGCTGCTGTGGGAGCCAGAGTGCCTTTGAGTCCCACTTTGCCACTAAATAGCTTTAGGACCTTAGTCGACCTACACCTGTTTTCCCATCTGTCCCATGCACACACTGTTACCTAGCTCGTGGGGGTTTTGAGAGGCTAAAATGAATAGTATGTAGAAAACAAAAATGCTTGGCTCATATTATATGCATATTTTAAGCACTGTGTTAACTATCACTGAAATTTAGGGGGAGCAAGTCCTTGTGATTTGCAGTGTCTTTAGATGCAATGGGTTATTGGAATGAGACTGGATGTAAGGTATTTCTGTTGTGTGCGTCAGTAGTGTGCTTTGCACACCTCTAAAGAGAAGGATGTGCTTTCTGAATTATCTTTTTCTAGTTTTTCCTTCAGAATATATAAAGTCAATGACTTAATAAGAAAATATAAAATATACATTTAAAGTTTTTTGTGGGTGTTTAAAAGGGGTTTGAATGAAAGAAAATCACAGATGAAGTTTGAATATTGGAACAGAAATTAGGGCTAGCAGAGCTCTCAGTCCATTTAAAGTGTTTAATATTGTCTTGAGATTTTGTAATTTCCTTCTGTAAGTTTCTCAGTTGTGAAATGGAGATAGCACTATTTATTTACTTCATATTGCCATTTTAAGATTCATATGTGAAGTGAGATTAAAGAGAAACAGACCCATTATTATTAGTTCTATTTAAGGTGTCAGCTTCTATCTACCAAATATTTACTTTAATATAAATATGGATTAAATAAGTTATTATGGTGGCAGCAGTATAACTCATCTGTAGGTTGTATGGGCACTTAGTGCATGTGTGCATGGAGGATACGGCTCTTAAATTGGATACATTCCAAATGGATGGATATTATTGATTTGTGGGTTCTAAGCACATATTTTAGTAATTCAGATGGTAGCTATCTCTATAAAATATGATATACAGTTTAAAAAGTGGCAAAACAGACTTTTTATTTCTGCTTTTAAAGACACTGTTTTTTCCTGCCTCTTTAAACACATTACGCACGTAAGTTTGCCATCCTGCTGGTTTAGTAGGGGGGAAGTTCACAAACTCTAAAAACAACAAGATTTCCACAGTATCCATAATGGTTTACTCTGTGTCCGCGGAAATGATTTAATATGAACGTTGAGAGTTATAGGAATAGATTTCCCTGGAACCCAGCCATCCTGAGATGAACCATATGACCCAGCCCAGGACTCTTCCGGTCGTGTCTCCAAAGTGCCACACGGTGGCAGCGTTTCGGAAAAGGATTTCAGACCACAATCTGGTTCCCTCAGTTTCTTATCCTGGCAGGATAGGACATTCATGTACTTCACAGAACTCTAAAACAGTTGAGGGACCTTTCATTTCTTGGAATGCCAGGCGAGCAAACATTTCCCGACAATGACCCGCTACGCAGTAAGAGGGAACACAAAGAGCATTCTTGTTCTGCCCTGTGGTTGTCATTCAGCCATCCCAGGTGGACGCTTCGTCTCTTCCCCAGGTCCCACACTCACTCAAAAGGTTTCAGACCCCGAGGTCTCACTCAGTAAAGGACCGTGAATTCATGGGTAGAGAATGTGGCTGGGATGCTTCTGAGATGAGAAGATGAAGTGATTTAGAATGGAGGCAGTTCTGTAAAGTACGAAATGGAGACTGTGTCATTCTCACTTTGAAGAGGCTCATACTTCTTTTTTTTTCATAAAACACGCTCCTGACACATTTTTCTTTTCTGAGTGAGATTTTCCAACGGTCGGAATTAACATTTTCAATTATTTACACCAGAGAAGCTTAATCTGTAACATTTCCACACTATTTCCATTCTTGATTAGGCTAACACTTGGTTGTTAGAATCAAAAGGTCAAAATGACCAAATCCCCTGCAAATCTTGTATGTGGAAAGGGAAAAGTTTAGTTGTTAAATTGGAATAAAGAGTGGCTTGTGATAATAAAATATAGACACTAAGTAGACTTATGGGAACATTTAAGGATATTTTTTCAAGAATTACATGAAAATTCCCATGTAATAGAAAAATGTAAGTGTCCAGATGTCACTGTTTTGGTGGACTTTATTACCAGCTTCTAGTTTACTTAGATATTTATATTTATATTCTACTTAGGAAAGCATAATAGACTATTTCAATTCTTTTGGCTCTGTAAATAATTATATTTTCCCCTTGAATTAAGCTTCAGGTAAAAACTTGATATTTTGATACCAGCACCAACCTGTCATGGACAAATTGGAGGTTACAGGTAATCAGAAGCCTGCCAGAGTTTTCCTCATTTGCGGTCCAGGGAAGAGGGGCATCATTTATTAGAGGGAGGGAGACAAGGGTGAAAGATAAGAGGATGCCATTTTTAAGTTCATACATGAAGTTAGAACATTTTAGAAATATAAAAAAAATATCACAAAACTTTTTATTCCATTGCTTAATAATTTAGTCAACAAAATTTAGCTCCTGAAAAAGTGGTCTTACTGTCAGTGGACACTAGTTTTACTTAAAACAAATAAAAAATCACTTAAGACCCACAGAATTGTTATAGAGTAAATATTTATTAAATTCTTAATGATTAACCATTTAATTCTCTACCCATAACAATGAATTCTGAGCATATAGGTCTTGCTTATCAATGCAATGCACAGGCACCATGCTTGAACCCCTATATCACACATCAATATGATAGCGAATATTTGCCAATACTTAAGATGATAACAGCATTTCTTTATGAAAGTATTATCACTAACTCTGAGGACATTAGCACTTTTTAAATGATAGATTCTTTAACATGGACTTAAATAATGTTTTTCTTAAAATGATATCATTTTTACCCTCATGGAGCCCATTTCTTCATGAAAATTAACTAAGAAATTTGGAACTTGTGTAGCCACTGAGGTTAAGGGGCATGGTTAAACAGTAAACTCAGTGGAGCTGTGGCCAGAGAAAGCATACAGTAGAGACCCTGTGTCCACTGTATAGAGTTGAAGGGATGGGTATTTGGGATTGGACCCAAACAGGAGTCTCTCTTCCCATCCCAAATCAATCACAGTAGCATAGAACGCTCTACCTGAAGCAACACAAGCAACAATCCAGGAGCCTGAAACCAGAGAGAACCTAAAGAGGGGGAGTTGGAAAGCTGCAGAGATGTACAAATAGAGATTATCAGCTGCAGGCCCATTTTAGCATGAAAAACACATTTGCAGCACCAATCAACCAGCGACAGGCACTTTGCAGAATGTATTTGAGGGGAGAGAAGCAATCTTTGAAATCAGTTTATTTAAATTCTTATTTAAAATCTGGTGTTTGAATAATTTTTGGCAGAGAATCAATGATAAGGTTGACATGAAAAAGTGACCATGTCAGTGCAGAACAGAAGAAGACAAAACCCAGCAACACAAGCAGTAGCTGGGAGGGTGTGAGGTCTTGTTCTTGGCACATATCTTCAGTTTTGCTCCAATGAACACACATTTTGTAGCCACACCTGGCCAAGAGTTATTGTTTTTGCCAATTTCAGTTAAAGAATACCTCCTGTTAATGCCCCTATTCTGTGATAAAACATTTATGTTTTTAAAAAATATTATTTAAGATAACTAGTAATTAAAATTTGATTTCTTTAATATTTGAATTCTTCAATAGAGTGTAAGTTCTAATATATGCTTACCCCTTAGCAGTTTACGTGCCAACAAATTTATGCATATAAATATGCAGTAATGAAAATATTTTACATAAATATGCATATGCAGTAAAGAAAAATCTAATTTTATAATGTATAAAATTATATAAAAATGTATATTTTTATTAAGTGAAGTCATTCCTGACAATTCTTTTCTGTTGCTTTCATAAAGCCCCAAATCGAACTTCTTTTCTAGGCACTATTAGAAGTTGCTATCAGGCAGAGTGGATTACATGTGAGAACTCGAGGCAATATTTCTATGTCAAGGTGAAAGCTAGTTTTTACAGAACATGAGGGCCTCTGAGACCTGGCTTTCTTCATCTCTCCAGCCTTATCTCACCAACTCCCCTCCTGCATATACTCTGTGGAACAAGTACACAGCCACTCGGAGCTCCCTGATGTGCCAGGCAGTTTCAAGTCTCCAACCCTTTGCTCACATTCCATGTCTACAATATCCATCCAGCACCATCCACACCTCCCTGTGAAATATTTTTACATCTTTCCAGACATCACAACAAGCATCAAGGCATCCCTGATGAAGCCTTTTTAAAAAAACCTAAATAGAAATAATCACTCCCACTTTTGTTCCCATAAGGTACCCTGCCCACCATTTGTCACAGCACCTGTGTTACTTTATTGACCTTACATGCTTGCCTCCTAACACTGACAAGTAAACTCCCAGCAGGCAGGCACTACATCTTACACATGTTTTTGTCAACAGTTTCCTACCGGGCACAGTACAGTTTGGGAACAGATGAATGGAGTTTGGGAACTACTTTAATATGCTTAATCCTAAGGCGCTCTGTGTGTTGCCCGCATTTACAGTAGTCCCCCTTATCTGCCATTTAGCTTTTTGAAGTTTCAGTTACCCGCAGTCAGCCATGGTCCAAAAATGTTAAATGCGAATTCTGAAAACACATAATTTGTTAGTTTTAAAATGTGCGCCATTCTGAGTAGTCTGATGAAATCTTGTGAGTCCCACACCATTCTACCCAGGTTGTGACTTGTCCCTTTGTCCAATGTTTCAGTCAATGTCTCCGCGCACTGCATACTCCTCACCTGTAAGTCATTTAGCAGCCCTGTGGGTTATCAGATCCACTGCTGAAGTATTGGAGTGCTTGTGTTCACATAACCCTTGTTTGACTCAATAATGACCCAATAGCCAAGAGTACTGATACTGGCAATTGGGATATGCCAAAGAGAAGCCATAAAGTGCTTCCTTTACATGACAAGGTGAGTACAGTACAATGACATATTGTGAGAAAGAGAAACCACATTTCTGTATTTTTATTACAATATGTTATCACAATTGTTCTATTTTATTATTAGATACTGTTGTTCATCTCTTACTGTACCTAATTTAGAAATTAAATTTATACTTTATCATAAGTATGTATGTATGGCAAAAATAGTGTATGTAGGGTACAGTACTATCTGTGGTTTCAGGAATGCACTGGGGGGTCTTGGATGTGTCCCTGGTGGAGAAGGGGGCACTACTATACTACCAGGTCAGGGAGCTGGAGCAATTGCTGGACTCTGAGAACAATTTCTACACTCATTTTTAAGATGCTGTTGCAGAGTCTAAAGAGCCAGGATCTTTTCCTCTCACTACAAGGTTCTGGCAAGCCCTGTACTTGTCCAGTTTCTTGATGGAGTTAATCTGGATTATTTTTGACATCAGTTTCAACTCTTAAGTTCTCTAACTTTTTAAAAATCCAGGAGGAATAAAATGTTGACATTATAACAGGAAGAGCAAGCAGGGTGTAGGAATAGGGATGGCATTGAGAAACAGATTAAAAACCAGAAGTAGATTTTGGCACTGAATCTGCAGTAGGTAGTCAAGTCAAGTAAAAGTTGAGTCTAAGATGTTTTTAAGTAAACTTTTATGTGTTTTGATGTATTTAAACCAGATATAAATTATGGAGGTTATTACAGACTTCCACCAAGATGGAGGCGTAGGTGGAAGCACTGTGCCTTCTCGCACAACTAAGTTTAAAAATAACAAAGTTTTAGCAACAAAAACACAGTCAAACCACAGAAAATTGAACTACACGGAAGTCTGACAACAATGAACCCTTCAGCCAAACCAGTAAGAGGGGCAGAGCCAGCAGCAGAGCGGGGTCGGGCAGGAAAGATCCACCAGACCGACCCTGGTGAGAGACCCACATGCGCCAGCAGCCGTGGGCGGATCCCAGGTGTGGAGAAGCAGGCAGACCCACTGAGGGCGAAAGGCATTGAACCCACTGAGGGTGCAAGGCAGTGGAGCCACTTAGGGCTGATTACGGTCACACATTCACGAGCAGATAAACCAGTGAAGGAGCTAGCAGTGAGACAGACCACGCAGGCCCCAGCAGCAGGAAGGAGCAGAGGGAACCACCATTGTCCCTCTCTGACCCCGCCCCCACATACAGCGTCACAAACCTGCAACCTGGGTGGTCCCACCCTGGTGAACAACTAAGGCTCCACTCCTCATACCTAACAGGCACGAACAGATCAAAACAGGGCTAAAGAACAACTCAGAGCCCCAGAGCCCATAAATCTGAGCAATGAAGAAATAGCTAAACTTTCATATGCACAGTTCAAAACACTGGTGATCAGGATGCTCACAGAACTGGTTGATTTTAGTCACAAATTAGAGGAACATATGAAGGCTAAACTAATTGAAATGAAGGGAAATGCACAGGAAACCAATAGTAATGGAAAGGAAACTGGGACTCAAATAAAAGGAATGGACCAGAAGAAGGAAAAAAATGACCAAACAGAAAAGGATGAAGAAACAAGAATTCAAAAAAATGAGGAGAGGCTTAGGAACCTCCAGGACATCTTTAAACATTTCAACATCCAAATTATAGGGGTACCAGAAGGGGAAGAGGAACAGCCACAAGTGGAAAATTTATTTGAACAAATAATAAAGGAGAACTTCCCCAATCTGGCAAAGGAAATAGACTTCCAGGAAGTCCAGGAAGCTCAGAGAGTCCCAAAGAAGTTGGACCCAAGAAGGAACATACCAAGGCACATCATAATTACATTAACCAAGATTAAAATGAAGGAGAGAATCCTAGAAGCAGCAAGAGATAAGAGAACAGTCACCTACAAAGGAATTCCCATCAGACTGTCATCTGATTTCTCAAAAGAGACCTTCCAGGCAAGAAGGGGCTGGAAAGAAGTATTCCAAGTCATGAAATCCAAAGACCTACATCCAAGATTGCTCTATCCAGCAAAGCTTTCATTTAGAATGGAAGGGCAGATAAAGTGCTTCTCAGATAAGATCAAATTCAAGAAGTTAATCATCACCAAGCCCTTATTATATGAAATGTCAAAGGGATTTATCTAAGAAAAAGAAGAGAAAAAATATAAACAGTGAAAGGATAGCAAACTCACAGTTATTAAGAACCATACCTAAAACAAAAGCAAACTAAGAGGACAGCTAGATCAGGAGCAGAACCATAGAAATGAAGATCACATGGAGGGCTAGCAACAGGGGAGTGAGAGAAGGAAAAGGGGAGAGAAGATACAGAAAATAAGTAGCATAGATGGTAGGTAGAAAATAGCTAGGGGGGAGGGCAAGAATAGAATGGGAAATATAGAATCTAAAGACCTTGAGACACGTGGTCATAAACTAAAGGGGGGAATGGTGGGGGAGGGGGTATGCAGGGTGGAGGGGAATGAAGGGGGAATAAAACAACTGTAATGGAATAATTAATAAAATATATTTTAAAAAATTTAAAAAATTATGGAGGTTATTTACTAAAATAGTATTAGTAAAAAAAATCTTTTTTTAAAGGAGGGAAATCACTCCCAACTTATGATTATAATAAGTTAAGCCATGATGTTCTGAGAACTTTTTATATGTATCTCCCTAAATATGGGTTTTCTAGAGGTGTTTTCTCAGTATGGATCACATGAATTTATTTCAGATTCTGTTACACCAAGAGTGGGAGACTGAGGAGAAAGTGACTGAAGAGGTGATCTTGCTTCTTTCCTGGAAAATGTCACCTGTGGTTTTAGGAGACAACTTTGTTGCCAAATAGATCAGAAGAATAAGCCTTCTTCATAATCTGGAGATGTTTTTAGATTTTTCATTCTTGTTCTTACATCCCTTTATTTCCAAGCACCTATATTTATGATTGGTCTAGACCACTTATTAATTTCACTTTATGTGTGTTGAAGATGTTCAAGAGTTATTTAGAATCAAAGTTTATGACTAAATTCTGTCTTCTTTTTACCCATTTTATGCTGAACAAATTTCTACTACATTTTTCTCCTAAGAAATACTTTCTTGTAATTACTATGCCTTCAGCATATACCTTTTCATGGCAGAAAAGAGTAAGCCTAGAACTTCTGCTTTTGCTTGTTAAAAGGAGAGATATTAAAAATAATAATGGCAATAAAATGGTAATTATATGTGTTCATGGAGAACATATAATTTTCCATGAAAATTTTCCTACTAGATTTTATTTTCCTACGAGATTTAAATATGCATGATGCCTACTATTCCTAACAACTTCATGAATTCAGTATTATCATCTCAATTTTTCAGAAGAGTATAATAGAAGCTATTTACTATACAGTCACTTCTAAATATATAATCTAATTCACTCCTTGCGAAAATCTTTGAGCATTTATTTACAGGAAAAGTAGAGGCCCAAGAGAGGGAGTGGCTCGTTCTCCCCAAATGGATAGGAAAAGCTTCCAAGAGCATGCTGCAGTGCATGCAGAAGAGGAGCTGGTGTTAGATACTAACTACCAAGGTGTGAATTAAGATTATAGCATCCAACTTTGACCAAACTTTGTTGAGAAAAAACAAACAAACAAGTAAGCATACAACAAAAGCAATCAGCTACGATAATATTGATAGGAAATCTTGTAAAGAGAGTGAATAATTTTATTTTTAGGAGGTTCGAATCTGATAAAAATGCAAAGTTTTATTTTTCTACATATTCCATCCAGCTAATGTTGTGGTATGGTTATGAGTTGTATGATGTCAGAAAACATTAATACAGTTCTGCTAATCACACACTGCTGTGAATCACCAATTCAAAAGGTGTGATTATGAATTGTGGGTTAATATCATTAGCTTCATATTTTATATACCTAAAATATTCATTGTCTTAATCAGCTAAACTTCAAGTGAACTGCTTATTATATTTTAACAGGTACAACATAGCTAGACAAAGGCATATCTCCTAGTTAGCCTTATGTCTTACTACCTTTGAATTTCTTATGGCATCAACCATAATAATTGTGGCAGGTATTGCTGGCTGTACACCTCTTCTTCAGAGTAATTTCTGGGAAGCAGCTGCCCAGCTAAAACTACATTTCCTCAGCCTCTCTTCCACCTGGGTATAACGTCCAACTGGTTCTTGTGAATAGAACATGAACTAAAGTGAAATGTTTCATTTTCAGGCTGAAGTGCCTAAAGCCTAAGTGTACCACCTCTATGTTCTTTTTCCTTACACTTTGGCTAAATGGAGAGGACTGGGATACATTTTTTGAGAGCAGATACCCAATGAGGAGAGAGTTTGAGGTGTCTGCTGACAAGGAACCCAGGTATTGAATATTATATGAACCAAAAATTGCTCTATTGCCTTAAGTCCCTGATATCTGTGTCACCTCAGTGCAACTGCTTACACACAATAGTGCTCAGTCCATAGTTTCTGAACATTGGCATCTATGTTCCAGATCACTAGACTCATGAGACTGGATTGATATTATGGTCTCATAAGTTTATATATATAATTTTAATCTATAATACAGAATTTTCTGTTTATTTTTGCTTTCTCATTCTTAAAACCCTGAACTAGTTCCTGTGAAATAACTATTGTGTTAAAAATTGAAGTTGATTATTTTATACAGTAAGTATGTGACTTACTTAACCCAAAAGAAGGTGGCATATCATCTCATTTTA